CAGGAAAATGAGTGGTGGGTTGGCACCAAGCAAAAGCACTGTGTATGTGTCCAATTTACCCTTTGCTTTGACAAACAACGATCTATACAGGGTAGGTTTTTAAGAGCTGCATCATGCAGATTAAACTCATTGACAATGATTTTGAGTGTAAATACAATACTGATATGTATATGTCTCTTATTTAGAAAAACTTGATAAATTTTTTTGCTAACAAAATGCAATTGTCTATTGTTAAACCTTTTTATTTTGTTTCATGTTTCAGATATTTTCAAAGTATGGGAAAGTTGTCAAGTAAGTGACCTGATATGGCCTGTTATTTTTGTAGCTTTCACTTTAAATATTTAATGTCTTTGCTTCACTTGAAAGTCTTGTGCTTTTTATAATTGAAGTATGAATGTGGCACTGTATTGAAATCCTGTTCATTGTTAATAAAATATGAATTTAATTAACATCTGGAAGTTCTTGCAGTTGCAAGCATAATGTAAGAATATTTGTGTTGGAGATGGGTTTTGCTAACCGCTTTTTAAGAGTGAGTAGAATGTCGTTATATACCAATGATCTTTCCTCTGAAACAGTTGAAACAATATCCTTCTAGTAAGTGTTATTCCCTGAACACACTGTGTACCCCATCTGGGACACAAGTGGGTAAGTGTAAAAGTGGGAACTTCTACTTAAGTGAACTAGATGTCACACTTCCCACAAACAGTTCCCACAACTGCAATGTACAGTTCCTGTATTTGTGGTTCTAGAGGGCCTTGTTATTTTGACTGCTTGGTATTACATTTAAGATTAGATGTAAGACTGCATAGTAATGGCTTTTAGTATTTGGGGTATTCACGAACTGTACTTGTGAGTACCTGCCTCTGTGTTCAAAAGATAGAAATAAAGGCTACAGTAAGGAATTTGCTGGTTTGTTTTGTTTCTTTATTTTTCAACTGATCAGAATAACGAGATTCAAGACTTCAGTTTTTAACCCTACATCAGTAAATATAACTAACTTCTAGTACCTGCTGTAATAATCTGTGAGATACAGAGCTAAATTCAAAGTTTTTGAAATCTCAGGAGTGTTTTTCAGGTGACAAATAGCAAAAAAAGCCAAACTACAACTTTAGAAAAACATGGTTTTTAAATTGACTGAGAGGAAAACTGTTATGTAGGGCTCTGGCAGACATACAGTGACCAATACAACTAGGCAGCTATAGTCTTTATTGTTTCCAGGATGAGGTGTATGACCTGGTTTAGTTGATTGCAAAACTATCAATTTAGAAAAATCCTGAGCAAAGGTTGTGATAACACTGGTGTTTAATATCCATTGAGAGGCCTGTTCTCCATAGATTTGACACTTCTGACCTCCCTGCTATCAGTTGGTAATGTACCTATACTCTGTGTGTTTGGGGCTACAGGTCTCATACCGTCTTGTCTTTTGAACTTATTCAGTAGGAGGATGAGAATAGTATGAAGTACTGGGTGAATGATGCATTGCTTATTTTAAAGGAACATAGCAACATTCTCTCTCTTTTTTTTTCCTCTATTAATAGTTCCTACCATTTTATTTGCTTGGTTTTTTGGCCGTCATAGACAACAGAAATAGTGTTTTCAGATGCCTATGCAAAAGAAAACCTGTGCTGCATCCTGTGTGAAAGCAGCTAATTCAGAACTTGCAGTTTTATCTTCACAGTTACTGTTTTCCCCCACTCTTATATTGTTTTGCAAAAAATTCACTTACTGATACCTAATTTTTCCTAACATTTTGTCTAGTCACTGCCAGAAGTTAAACCAAATGCAAAACAAAAATCATGGTAGTATTTTACTCATAGCATTCTGTAACTCTTTGTATCTAGCAAAATTTGTTTCTTGTTCACCCCTTTGCAAGCTGACCTGACTATAAACAGTGCAGATACTGTGGGATTCTACTGGTATTCCCATTTCGCTGTGAAACTGAGGCTAACAAGGACCAGTTTTCTTTTTTGTAACTAGTTATTAGTTCCAAATAAAAATCTTTTTACATATTAGTTTAGTTTCTGTAGAGTCTTTGTTTGGGGACTTGAAAACATTTTGCAGAAAGTTTTGCAGTGTCGTCTAGGTCAGCTTTAAGTTAACTAAATAAGCTTTAATAGACCTTTTTTTTGAAATGTGTCCTGACTCAGCAAAGTCATGCTTGCTTTTCTTCCATACTGCATTTCTCACCCCAATATATCTTGACTGTTATGATTTCAGCTCAGTTTGTTCTGGAAGAAATCAGACTTTTTAGGGCTTTGAGAAGTTGCTGACTTTTTGAGGATTTGTCACACTTGTTTCTTTCTATGCTTCTGTTATTAACTGATGTATTCGGTATCCCAATTGGAAGCCTGACAGTCGTATTAGGGTTCTGTCAGAACTCTTCCAAGAGTAGCTTGGCAAAAGAATTCATTAAATTGTTCTAAAGCCAGTTGAATTGACACTTCAACTCAATGCGTTTCATTGGAAACATGCTTATCCAAGAGGCTTCAGTAGAAAAACTGTTCTAAGCTCTATCTTTCTAGGCATGTATTTGGGGAAAAAATTGAGCTTTCTTTACTGGACTTTTGTTTTATACACTTTTTAGTCTGTAGGTCATCTGTTACTCATACAGGTTCTCTGGTAGGTCCTCTGCATTGAAGCAGGGTTTGTTTGGGTTTAGGGTTTTTTTTGAAAAAGGTCCTATTACTTACAATTTTGGCTTGCCTTATGGCTGAACCTTGTTCTGTCCGTGGTGGACACAGGGAGGAGTTTGTTCTCTACTTTTTAACATGTACTTTTATTTTTATGTGCAAGCAGACTGGCATCCTATTTCCTACCGTTTGATTTTGTGGGTTTTTTTTAGGGCTAAATACAATTGATGTTAAGATTGACAGAATTGAGGTTGCGTGTGGGTGTCATCCCTCCCTCCTCTTCACCTCTTGTCGTTCTTTTTCTTTGTCTGTTGTGTTTACTAGGTCTAAATCTGTCTTGAATTTCTCAATGTGCTACTGGAGCTGTTGATTCCAACGTTAGACTGAAGATTTAATTTGTATGTCATGTAAAATAACACACGCATACGTGACCTGCTTGGATTCCAGTTGGAGATATTTGTTGAACAGTACTGCTTATACTTATCATTTCCTATCATGAACCTGTTTAGCTGGTTAGGCCTACCGAAACATAGAATTCTCAGTTCGAATGCATTTCAGTACACTGTGTTTTCAGCAATGGTAGCAATGGTCAAGATTACTCCAGAATTTTAATTTCATCTCCAATATGTATTGGTCCCTCCAGTTAGGTTTTCTGCGAATCTAGAGAGTATGTTCTCTGTTCTTCAAGTCATCCAAGGGATTAAAGATACCAGACCCAGAAAGACCTCCCATACTTTCTAAAATCATCTCTACTTTACCTGTAAGCATGTGGCCTGGTTAGCTGTTCCTTTGAATTTCTGTTTAGTGAGCTTTTCTATTGTTAAACATATTTTATTTCCTTTTTGCTGTATAACAAAGCTAAGATCCCATTGAGATCTTTAAGGAAAAAATCTCTCTGAAATTATTTTAGTATATCAATAATGTGGTTATATGTTTTCAGAGTTACTATTATGAAAGACAAAGACACCAGGAAGAGCAAAGGAGTTGCCTTCATTTTGTTTTTGGATAAAGAATCGGCACAAAACTGTTCTCGGGCCCTTAATAACAAGCAGGTAAATTGTGGAAAGTTGTTATAGTAGGAAGGTTGGGTTTACAGCGCCAAAATACTTACCTTTTTTTCTGATTTACTGTAGTTGTTTGGAAGAGTAATAAAAGCAAGTATTGCCATTGATAATGGAAGAGCAGCAGAATTCATTCGCAGGCGTAACTACTTTGATAAGTCTAAGTGTTACGAATGTGGGGTGAGTAAAACAAAAAACGAACTACTATATTCCAGCTTTTTTCTCCAGTTTGGCCATTGCTAATGCTGCCCATGGTGTTAAAATAATTTGTTCTGTTGATGCTATCAACTTGCACAGCAGTTGTACCATTTTCAAGAATTATAATAGCTCTTTTGTCTTTTATTTGGGATTTTGGGAGTGGGGGAAAACATGCGCTTATAATAGCTGCTTAACATGCTGATGAGCAGAGATGAGTATCAGTATAAAGCTGTATGCGAAGGAAAAACTCCAAATCTTTGCTTCAAAATACCTGCTTTTGCTGTATGTTTGGAAGTTCATGATATAGTTGGTGGCAAAATAAATATTGGAAACAACTGGTTTTACACAGAATAAGTGTGTTTTAAATTTTAGGCAATTCTTCACTTTTCCTTAATGTAATAACATAGGAGATTGAGATTCAAGTAGTATTTAACATCAAATACAAACCTGATTTATATTCAAAACACACTTGAGAGAACAAATGTTGACTCACTCCTATTTATTAAACTGTTAATGCTGAGGTTTATGTCTTGTCTTGAACATAAACTGTGCTGTAGTGTACTCAGCGATTGCAACAGCCAAAGAAAATCTGCTTTGCTCATAGCTTGTTCTCAATTTACAGTTAAACATACATATCACCACCAAGCTCTTCGTTTCCATGGCAAGCTTATAGAGAAGAGTTTGTCTTCTGTGAGCTAATTCAGCATTCCATTTATCGTACTAATTGCTTCCATTTTTTCCCCTGTGAACTGTCTTACATTAACTTTCCTCATGATATGTTTCAACATATAGTTGTTTGTAATGGTTTCTGTTAAGCAATATTTCTTTTTCTCCAAGGAAGCAGGACATTTAAGTTATGCTTGTCCTAAAAATATGCTAGGAGAGCGGGAGCCACCCAAAAAAAAAGAAAAGAAGAAGAGAAAGAAAATAGTTGAGCCAGAAGAAATGTATGTATATTATTCACATGTTAATCTTTTAGGCAGCTTTTTTCTACTGAATGCTTAAAATAAAGATCTATGTATTTTTCTCTCTCTGCACAATGAAGTGAGGAGGAAGAAGAAAGCGAAGAGGAAGGAGAAGACCCTGCTCTAGATAGCCTCAGCCAAGCCATAGCTTTTCAGGTACAAAATTGAAGCATTGTGTATTTATTATTTTTTAATTATTTAAATGCAACTCTACTTCCTGTTTTTTAGCTCCTTCTCAAAAGCTCTGAGATACATCTGTAAGTCTGTCCGCTCTGTAGCACTCGGGGCACTCTTGCCTGACGGTAGTTGCTGACTGTAGTTGGTTTCTTCATATTGCAGGCATGTTCAGTCATCTGTCTTTTTTTTTTTTTTTATTAAATCATGTCACTGTTGCTATGTTTGTGTATTGCAATTTTTTATTTCCTTCAAACTCCTTTGCTGCTTAGTTTCCTGTCATCTCTGCTGTGATGCTCTGTTAGGTTTCTGGTCCATAAATCCCTCTTTTCTCTATTAACTGAGCAGCCAGAAAAAGTCATGTATAAAGGACCAGGTACATCCTCTGCCCTCACTCACTAGAATATCCTTGAACATCATCTATTTCTGGAGCACTTCCTTTGCCTAATACAGTCCATCATGGTCTCTAATAGACCTGTTCTCTCAAAACATGTTCAATGCATTTATTTTTATGTAGATAGTAATACAGCTGTCAGGCTACCTATCATCTTTAATGTTTGTGCTTCACTACACTTCACTTGACTCTCTAATCCTCAGCTATCCTTTGTGTGCCCCCATCCCCCTCAAAAAAAGACTCAAGAGTTTTTAAGATAATTGTGTCTGGAATATGACTGTAATGAGTGCAAAACTTTTACATGATATAGTCGAAAAAAAATGATGCAAATATGCACAATTATCCCCAGCCCCAGAAAACTCGACGATTGGAAGCAAAACCTATAAACGTATACAAGCCAGGAAACATTCACATTTCTTTCACCATCCAAAAATTTCAACTGGGATAGCATATTTCCCAGTAAAAATGGGAAGCATCTATTTAAACCTTTAGTTGAATAACCCTTACATCCCTGGAGACATTCCTTCTCTGAATGAATTACTGCAGAAGACAACAGATAGAGGATTTGTTAGTGGAGCAAAGCTGATTCAATAATGTCAATTTAAAACACGATGCATTCTTTACTTCAGATCTCAGATGCTTTCTCATTCTATAAGTTTGCCGTGTGCAAAGTTCCTCTCTTTGAAAATAGAGGACCACGCCAGGCAGTCCACATTGGTGCGGGAAGACTCACTGTTTGCATGTGAGAACTGCTTTCAGAAATGTTTTCTAGTGCATTCATCGCACAGTTTGTCTGGAAATGGAGATAAACCCTTTGAATTCTTTGAAGTATTAAATAATTCAATGTGTATTAGTAATTAGCATTATTATTTGTAATGCATCGTAATATTTCTTAATCCTAGCTGATACTTTTTCTTCTTTCATTGTAGCAAGCCAAAATTGAGGAAGAACAACAAAGATGGACGCAGACTGCAGGGGAATCTTCAATTTCAGATGATTCAAAACGTCCACGGATTAAGAAAAGTGCTTATTTCAGTGATGAGGAAGAACTTAGCGACTGAAATAAAACTGTTTTATATGCATATATCGTATATATAGTGTACATTTTGTAAAGTGCTACAAAGTTGTCTGTAATACAGGTTTATCTTGGTGTTGAAGACACTTACTGAAAATTATGTTGTAGTTCTACCCTGCCCGTCGAACCTCCTATCTTTTGATATCTCTTGCTCAAAACTTCACCCTTCAAGGCAGCTCCTTAAGAAAACCGTGTGTTTCTACACTTAAATCCAGAAAAACATCTGGCAGAATGCTGCTTGCAGTTAGTGTCTGGGCCCAAACCCTGGGAGTGAAATCTTTCATAAGAGAATTTCCCAAGATTTTTTTCCTAAGAGGAGTTCCTCTTAAGATCACTGTTAGCACCAATGACACTTTCTGTATTGGTCTGTTTATTTGCTGTTTGAAAGCAGTGCTTTAACAGTACTTTAGTAACATATGAATCTTGCACTAGTTCCTCTGCAGGGGGTTGAATTTCAGCCTTAAGCGTTGTACTAGTCTTTTAACTCTTTGTGCAGTAATATAATAAATTTGTAAGTCACATAAACTTGGTCTGTGAAATCATTTTAGATGAAACAATACATTGGTCTGTTTTCCAAAAGTATATTGAGATACCTGTCTTCTGTCTTATGCAGTTTTAGTAACTTGCTGTACGTTTTATAGCATTATATAGCCTATATACAATATAGGCTTACGAGGAGTTGCAAGTTAAAAGTTATGTGGTGATTACTTCAGTCTTGGAATATTCATACTTTTTTTGTTTTTTTAAAGAGTGATAATTCTGTTGCCCTTGCATTAAAATTGAGAATGGCCATATGTTTTAAAAATGGGAATGTGCATATGTTTTAATATGCTCTAATCTGATATTGAAAGTCTCTCGCTGTGATAGGGGCATGTACTGCGCTGTTTCTCCTAACTGCAGTTTGAGTGCCTAACATGGTAATTATGGTGATGAACAGATTTTTTAAATATACTTGTGTCTAGTATGGATCACAGTCCTATCTTCTCAGACATCTGAACCAGCTGGCAAAATCCAGAGGACACAGAGTTTCTTTCCTATGTGCTTGAAAATCAGCTTTTCTGTATACTTGGAACGGTCATGGTCTCTAAGCAAAGTGTGTTGGCACATATTTTGCACCTAAAGCTGTTCAGATCTTTTAAATAGAGTCTTCATCCTTAAATCTCTGTAGGATTCTAGTCATGTTCTCCTTAAAAGCCTTATAGACACACTAGGAGAACAGTACAGAGCCCTGCAGCAGTGATTACTCCCAAAACCACAGACATATGGTGATAGTGGTAACCCTTTTATATAGACCACTTTGTGTAGTCAAACTTTTCATTTTTAGGAGATGCAATATAAAATACATTCACACTTGGAAGAGGAGATCAGCTGGCCCCTGTTTCTATTTTCAGTTCTTCCTGTTGCTCATCAGAACTTGGTTTTCTTCTAAATATAGAAAATGTAAATCCAAATATACTGCATATATATGCATATTCTTAATTAATACCAATTTACAGTCAAATATATAACTGGGTGCAAGGACAACACACTCTATCTCTCTGAGCTAGTATAAAGCAGTCACATTCAGAAGGTCATTCTGAGGTTTTGTGTTGCTGCTTTCACAATAATTCAGAAACAAGAATAAGGTAATAACGTGAAAAATTTTCCTGTACAAACTATTTAAAACGCAGACTAGGAAGAAATATTGGGCTTTATACATAGGAAGGTCTTGGATTCAGTAATCCGAAGAATGTTTTTTAGACTTACTTTGTGACTTTCTGCTGAAAGCACTGTATGTTCAAGCCGGTTAAATCTGAAGCTTCCTTTACTGAATAGCCAAGTACTGAAGTGCCAGGTGTAACTTAGTGTTAATAAATGCAAATCATTGTATATCATGTATGTAGTAATGAAGACTGAGGAGTTCTGAACTCTTCTAAGGAAGAAAATCTTGCTGCCACCATGTTTCTCTGCAAATGCTAGGTAAGGCTCAATGGCAGTAAAACAAACAAACAAACAAGAAATAGTGAATGAACAAAAAAAAAATATGATGCCACTACTTAAAATCAGTGTTTGTCATCTTCTCCAATACCATGTCCAATACCGTTTTTTAAAAAAAGATAGAAAACTAAAATGCAACAGAGGACCAGTTTGGCCCTGACCATAACTTTGGTTTGGGAGTGTTTGATAGGTTGTAAGAATTAAAATTTCAATTAAGTAATCAGGTAGTGAGTTTCAAACTTTTATTTCATTATACTGTGTAATCTAGTAGTGGAACTCGGTGCTATAAGACTTTTTTTAGGGTCATAGGGTCAAAAGTATTAGACTTATATGTGGAATGTGATAGTTATGTTATATATAAAAAACGTTAGCTTAAATACAGTCTTCACTCAGAAATAGCCTAAATTACTGACTCCCTTTAGATGCAAAATATACAGAGATATTAACAGTCTAGGAATGTTTTATTTTTAATACGCTTTACTGTTTCAGTTTTGCTACTGATGTCTTGTCAGAAAGAATAAAAACAAAACTGACCTTTGTTCTGACCTAAGACAGTACTTTTTCAAGAGTTCCAGTAGCTGAAGCATGTTGATATATCTTTCTACTCTGCTGCTTCTGCCTCAGTGCTTTCCCTGTAGGATTCGCTTTTGTCAGCACGAAGCAGTAGCTCAATCCAGACTATTACAACTGACCCGGTGGTGTTCCTCCATGCTCTTTTGTTCCAAGCATAAAGTCATTTGAGGCAGATGACATTGGAAAAGAAACAGATAAAAATGAGCCTGGGCCTGCGGAGAATTGCCGTGTAGAATTCCTCCCTGTAAATCATCTTCCTTTAGCTGTTTTCTTAACTCTGTTTGAACTTCTATTGATTAGCAGTGCTTATAGTTTTTGGCATAGAGTCAGGGTAAAGAAGAAAGCTCTTAGTGCCTAAAACGGGACCTAGAGGGACTTTAGAGGAGTAGGATCTTTGCACTTTAGTCTCCTGAATAATTTTAAGATTCTACTCTTTGTTGGCAAGATAATGAAGCATCTCTAAGTGAGAAATTCAGAACACTAGCATTAGGTAACCATCAAGTTAGATAGCTAAGTACCTGTTCTGCTTGCTTAAGTCCAAAATTGTTGTCTGCAGCAACCCCTGATGCAGCTGTTTAATTCTGGAAAAAGGCCAAAACTTGTCAGCTAAGTCCCTTTTTGATCTTTGAACGCCAAGGGATTTGCTCCTGTTCATGCCCAACCTCACCTACTCTAAGCAGCGTGGCTTCAGGCTTCCGAGTCTGATCAGTGTTGAGAAGTTAGGTGGAATATTAACTGAGCTCCTAATTTAGATCAGGCCAATAGGGTGCAATTAGTTTTCAAAACATGAGACAGAGTGGGGCTTTTGTCAGAGTTTGGTATCTTAAAGCACCAGCTTAGGAAGCAGAAAACAGCTTTGGTGGCTACATGGCTCTGGGCCAGACAGACGAGCCTATGTAGCCATGTTATCAAAAGCAAGAAGAATAAAAGCTGCTTTGTAGAACACCTTCCTGTTATTGTCAGAAAAAACACAGGGGTTTGTAGGTGGGGTTTTTTGTGTTGGTTTGGGGTATTTTTATTTAATGCTCTGAGCTAGCTTAGGCTAGCAAGCTGAATGCTGGTTTTACAGTATATGTAATGTGGCTCTGATTATAGAGAAAATGACACTGTCAGACAGTTGTTTGTTTTTTTTTTAAATAATGTCAAAAACTTGGATCTTTCTGCGAACATCCACTTATTAGATCTTGTCTTTGGTATTTTCAAAACTGCTTGAAAACTGTCAAAATAGTTCTTTCTGGGTCATGGGACCTCTTGTCTATTGAAATGGCTAACCGAGTAGTGTCTCAAAAGCCACTGGAAGATGACTTCTGCCTGTCCTTGGGGAAGAAGGGTCTATGGAAGGCAGACAAGGATGATTAGCTTAACTGATTATAAATGGTATTACTCATACTGTGCCTGTGCTGCACTTGTTAAACCATTGCAGCTATGAGGCAGTGAAGTAATTTTAGTCCACGTTTAGCAGACTGCCACTATGTTCTTGGCATATTCAGGTTACTACTCTCAGCAGAGCAATAGAAGGGGCTGTAAACATAAAGAACTATGTGTAGCTAAATAGGTGATGTCTGGAACAAATTGTAAACACTTTATCTTTGGCTTCTGGGTCACTGTGTTCTCTGGGATAGCCCTTTTTTAATCTGCAGAGATGACTTACTGTAGCATGGGAAGGTGAGCTGTGCATGCTGTTTGGCTGTCGTCTTTTGAGGCACGAAATATTAAATTGCTTAGAAAGGCTAGATGTAAAATGTGATATTTAAAAATGGGATTTATTAAGTGCTACTATGAATGTTTAGAAGTAACTAGTATAGAGACCTCTTTGTTTCCACTTTCTATGCTATTTGACATCTGCAGTGTCAATATGATAATATAATTCCATCATATATATAGAATTCTATACCATCGTAATTCTACCATCGCTCTTCTATAAAAGTATTTAAAATAACACTTTTACAGATGTGTTATCTTAGAATAACTGGTATTGGATAGCTGATTGTTTCTTTTTAGTATAGATTGCAAAACCAGTTTTAGGTGTCCTTAAAATGTTCATACTAAACAGCTTTGTTTATCTTACAGATCTTAACAGGGTGAGTTTTTTCTGTAGCTGTTGACGGCAATATTAAAAATTACTACGCTGTTCCTTCTTTAGAGAAAAAGGTGTAAAGTGGAGGATTTAGTCACGCTTAATGAAGATGACCTTGTTTCTTGTATCTATCCTGGTGTCTGTAAAACATGTCCTAGCAGGGATAAGCTGAGGAGATTCTGTATGTAAAAGAAAGCAGTATTTTTTAAGTTGAAGAATTGTACAGGTTTGTGAAATAACGTTCTGTCAGTCCTAGGCTGACCCTGACCTTGCTGCACATTCAGGCAGACGAGATGTGTGCTGAGACAAGTATTTAATGGATGCGTAAGTAATGCAGCAAGTAAAGAGTTATAGATATT